ACCACCAGAAAACTGGAAGTGGCGCTGTAGCTCAAGCGGTAGAGCGCTCGCCTTGAGCTGAAGAGCTGAGGGACAGCGCCCAGGCCCAGAGTTCAAGCCCCACGACCTACCAAAAAAAAAAAAAAGAAAGAAAGAAATGGACTCATTACCTGACTTGTGGAAATATAACTTCTGTATATCACCTTTATAATAGCAATATCTTTTTTATTGTAAAAATACTGTACAGAGGATTTACAATTACATGGGCAAGATAATGAGTACATTTCTTATCAAGCATTGTATCCTCCTCTTTTGTTTCCCCTTCCCATCCCATCCTTCCCCCACCCCAACCAACCAACCCTCCTCCCCCCACCACCAAAGTTGTAAAGTTCGTTTTCGACATGACAACTTGTACGTCTCATTATTGCAATGGCTCCACCTGTATCCCTATTTAAACGATTTGTTTTTTCCCTTCTCCTCCACAAATTATAACAACATCAAATACAATGAAAGCAGGGGTTATACCATTGGGGAGGGACATACAGAGCAACAAAGAAATAACCTTATAAATGTGTTAGAAACAATCGCATGAAAGAAAAAAAAAACATTTGAATACATATCTTAAGGTTCATTTCCCTAACATCATCTTATCTGACCTTTTCTGCTTGACTCAGACATATACTAGTTATTGCAAATAAGGGAAACCATGGAACCTATGTTTCTTTGGGCCTGGCTTACTTCACTTAATATAATTTTTTCCAAGTCTTCCCATTTCCTAACAAATGGGGCAATGTCATTCTTTCTGATGGAGGCATAGAATTCCATAGTGTATTTATAACACATTTTCTTGATCCATTCATCTACTGAGGGGCATCTGGATTGGTTCCATATCTTAACTATGGTAAATAAGGCTGCAATAAACATAGTCGTGCTGGTAGCTTTAGTGTGGTCTTGTTTGTGATCATTTGGGTAAATGCCCAAAAGTGGGATTGCTGGGTCATAGGGGAGCTCTATGTGGAGTCTTTTGAGGAACCTCCATATGACTTTCCAAAGTGGTTGAACAAGTTTACACTCACACCAACAATGAAGTAAGATTCCCTACTGTCCATATCCCCTCCAGCATCTGTTGTTATTAGAGTTCTTGATTCTAGCCATTCTAACTGGGGTGAGATGGTATCTCAATGTTGTTTTGATTTGCATTTCTTTTATGACTAGGGAGGTTGAGCATTTCTTCATGTGTCTATTGGCCATCCTTCTTCCTTCTTCAGAGAAGTTTCTCTTTAAGTCTTTAGCCCACTTGTTTATTGTGCGATTGTTTCTTTGAAGATTTGTTGTAGGGGGATTTAATTTTTTGAATTCCAGGTATATTTTGGATATGAGACCCTTGTCTGTTGTATGGCTAGTGAAGATCTTCTCCCAATCTGTGGGCTTTCTATTGATCTTGCTGACTATGTCCTTTGCCATGCAGCTTCATGCAATCCCATTTGTCCAACCTTTCTTTGATTTGTTGTGTTTCTGGGTCTCTATTAAGAAAATTTCTGCCTGCGCCAAGGAGACCTAGGGTTTCTCCTAGTCCACCCTGTAATGTTTTCAGAGTGTCAGCTTTGACTCCAAGGTCTTTGATCCATTTGGAGTTGATTCTGGTGTTGGGTGATATATAAGGATCTAGCTTTAGTTTTCTACAAGTAGTTAGCCAATTTTGCCAGCACCATTCTAATTTTTTTAGCTCCCTTATCGAAGATTAGATGGCTATAGGTCTGTGGGTTCATTTCTGGGTTTTCAATTCTATTCCATTGGTCCTGAGGTCTGTTCTTGTGCCAGTACCAAGCTGTTTTGATTACTATGGCTTTCTAGTAGAGTTTGACTTTTGGTATTGATATTCCTCCAGTACTGTTCTTTCAGTTGAGGATCATTTTTGCTATGCAGGGTCTTTTATTATTCCATATGAATTTTTGGATTGCCTCTTCTATTTCCTTGAAGAATGAGGTTGGAATATTGATAGGTATCGCATTACATTTCTAGATAGCCTTCAAAAGTATTACCATTTTCACGATGCTGATCTTTCCAATCCAGGAGCATGGGAGTTTTTGCCACTTTCTAAGTTCTGTTTTTATTTCCTTTTTCAAGTTTTTAAAGTTTTCATCATAGAGGTCCTTCACTTCTTTGGTTAATTCCTAGGTATTTTATTTTTTGTGGGGCTATTAAGAATGGAGTTGCTTTCCTAATTTCAACCACACTTTTCTCATTGTGGCATTCAGAAAAGCTATTGATTTTTGAGGGTTAATTTTATACCCTGCTACTTTGCCAAAGTTTTAAATCAGCTTGAGTAATTTGGGAGTGGAGTCTATGATCATGTCATCTGCAAAGAAGGAGAGTTTTACTTCTTCTTTCCCTATTTGGATCCCCTTTATGTTTGCAGCTTGTCTTATTGCTGTAGTGAGGCATTCAAATACTAGATTGAAGAGAAATGGAGAGAGTGGACATCTTTGTCTTGCTCCTGAGTTAAGAGGAAATGGCTTAATTTTTCACCATTAAGTATAATGCTGGCTGTAGGTTTGTCATATACAGCCTTATAATAGCAATAACTTTTTAAAATCCCTTTTTTCTCAGAATCTTCATGTAATTTTGAAACTAGAACAATAACTACCCCTTGCTGTATTTTCCCATGACCTAAAATCTAAGGGCAATGACCTTGGGGCAACATCTTATAGACCTGGTGCCCTTCACTCCTAAAAACTGCCACTTAGGGCTGGAATTTTCTACCTGTACCACAGTCTTCACTGAGAAGCATTTCCAAAATTATTCAGTAACTTCATCTATCAATTTAAAATGCCTGAAAACTATTCAACCATATTAGGATTCTGTATTGCATACTATAATAATAATAAATATAATTGTATAGATAGGGTTTTAATACCTCTTCTGCCACTAGAATATAAAACCTGTGTTGTGAAAAACTGCTTTATTTAATACTATATTCTCAGATATTAGCACAGTAGTATACAAATGTTGGGAGGATGGGTGTAGTTCAAGGGTAGAGGTTTAGTGTACCTAAAGATGTAAGTTCAATCACTGCCCTCGCCATCTAATTCAAATGTTGATTGAAGAACAATTGAACATATGAGTTAAATGACCAGATCTTGGAAATGGTGGATTATAGATAGATGATAGATATATATATATAGGCATATATGTAAATACAGACATGCATACATTAATTGATGCATAGGTAGATGCATAGATTTATAGATACTTATGGATAGAGTTAGATATAGTTTTCCTCTTTCTAAAAATCTGTGTATCATAAATATTTACATATACAACTGGTACTTTATAGATATTATAGGTACTATGACCCCACTCAGACTTGGAAACCCTAAAATGTAAATCATTTAAGTCTTACAAGAGTTTTAGGTGGAAGTTTCTAAAGTAATCTTATAAATTCTCTTAACAGTTTTTAATGATTTCTATAGTTATTAACTATATAATACTTTAAGGCATTATTACTTCATATTAATAGTCTTATAAAATTTAATTTTATAAAATTTTATAAAATAAAGTTGTCACTTTTGTGTCTCTGTTTTTCTTTTTAATCTAAACACTTTTATTTTTTGCATCAGACACATAAACAAAAAATGTTATGGTCTATGGGTGGTCAAGAAAATATCCTCATCACTTTCAAAGAAAGGTTTGGGTAGATTCCAAACCATCAAAGGTAATCAATCAAACCAAGGCCTTCTCTCCTTGGCTTCCAGCTAGCCCCACTCATCTTCTTTTCTTTTTCCTCTTTCTGTCTTGATTTTTTAAAATTTTGAAATATCTCCATATGTTAACTTCTTTCTTTGTATTATTATCTTTAGTTGTAAAAAGAAGTTGCCATTTAATAAAGTAGTTTCTGAATACTATTGTTTCTTGCTTTTCAGACTTTGCTTAATTCATTTAGAATATACATATATGAATACATTAATACATATAATATTGTTATTAACATTTTCTATGTAGCTCCTAAGAGTATATTTTGAAAATTAATGTTAACAAAATAGATCTTCATATTTTTAAATTATTGTCTGGTATAGCTTTACATAGTCATAAACCATTTTATTTTCTTTCATGAAAAAGCATGAATAGAAATTTTTAAACATTTATGTCTGTTATTTCTGGGGATTTTTTATTTCCTTTTTTGTACCATAATAATACAATTGTGCAAACGGGTTTCAATTCATTATGTGAGTTTATGATACAATTCATTTTTAGCTCTCCCATGTCTTTCTTATGAAGGATGTGTGAGTGAGAGAGAGTTTACACACATACACACATTTTTAACATCTTTGAAATGACAATTTGACTTTGTAGAATATATGGAAAAAATCATCATGTCTTTGTAGAAAGGGAAACTATGGGAAAGTAGGCAATAATTTAGTATTTAGTGTATTAGGAGGAAAATTTCCAAAAATTGCCAAAGAAAGTCAAAATGATTTTTTAAAGCAGGGATTTAATTTAGGGAAAATATTTTCACAAAGATTAACAGTTGGTGAATATTCATTTTGTACCCCTCAATATTAGTATTCACTTAGTTCATTGGTGAGTATTCACTTTCTTTTCACTTAGTTTAGGAGTTGCTAAGCTAGGTGCAAAGAAAAATTTGTACTTACCTTTGAGAATTAAGATACAGTTAAGAATTTCCTTTACACACTCATGAAAGTCTAACTTAGAAACTCACAGAGGAAATGAACAATAGAACACACCTTCGAATTAACCACTCCAATGGGTAATTATAGTAAGGAAAACCTTGAGAGGATTCCTCAGGAGAAGCTTTCTGAAGACATGAATTTTAAAACAGGTTTGGAAGGAAAGGATGAATTAGCAGGAAAAATTAGGAAGTGCATTCAGGTGTAGATGATTTTTCATAACTATTTCTTGCCTCAGTGATTTGATCCTACAGGAAAAAAATAATTATCAAAGAGACCAATAAAAGTATTTATGTAAGAAAACTCTTTTTTTGTTCTGCTTCAAAATAATAGTTGAAATCTGGAGAAACAGCTGCCAACATTGCAAGAGAGCTGGCTGAACAGACAAGAAATCATTTGAATGCCGGAGACATCACCTACTCAGTTCGGGCTATGGACCAGCTGGTGGGCCTTCTTGATGTCCAACTTAGGAACTTGACTCCAGGTGGCAAGGACAGTGCAGCTCGAAGTTTGAACAAGGTAAGGACTTCAGGGGAATTATCCTCAAAGTTTAGTGAGGTTGGCCAGCCTGCCCTACTTCATTTTGCTTCCTTGTATAGAACCTCATGATTCTAATGAGAACCAATATGCAACAGTAGCTGGCCTAACTATTTCATTATAATAATGGCACTCTTTGACTTTTAATCTAAGGTAACTGTGTATGGAAATGTCTTTTTATTAAGTTTGCACTTGCACTTCTACTTTCCATGGTAGCTATTCTTTTTTTTATGCTGAATTGTGGCAAGTGGAGTGTGCATGAATGCAATTTAGTTTCTTTTCCCTTCAAATGTTTATAGTGAAATGATTGACAATATACTAAGTTTCTAATCAACAAGTAGACTCTTGGAAAATGTTAACATGAGAATATTCGTATTCATTATAGAATTTTAAAATGAGGTTTTTGTAACCTAATATTAATTAAATAAATTCAAGTATCTAAATTATTTTACTGTTAAAAACTTTTAGTAACTACATTTATTTTGTTTTTGGATTGCTCAGACTTTACATTAAAATTTAAAGTGTTTAAATATATTTTAGCAAATAAGTAACAATAATTTGACCTTTGAATTTTAGGAATAATATACTTTATTAATTTTGTTTCCATTTACACAAAGCCTTTTTTGTAAAAGTATTTATGTAAATATATATTTTTACATATGTTTTTATATAATTTACTCTTTTAACAAAATATCACATAGCTGGTGGCTCACGCCTGTAATCCTAGCTACTCAGGAGGCTGAGATCTGAGGATCGCGGTTCCAAGCCAGCCCTGGCAGGAAAGGCTGTGAGACTCTTATTTCCAATAAACTACTAGAAAACCATTAGTGGTGCTGTGGCTCAAGTGGTTGAGCACTCTCCTTGAGCTGAAGAGTACAAGGACACCACCCAAACCCAGAGTTCAAGCCCCATGACCCACAAAAAAAAAAGAAAAGAAAAGAAAAAAGAAAAAGCCATCACATGGTAAATTAACCTTCATGGTAAAATTTTTTTTAAAATTCAGAATGACTATTACTATGTTCAATTTACAACTTTTCCTGATTGGCATTTGTATAGTAGAGATTTTCAATAAGTAACACTGAAGTTTTGAGCCTTGATTATTATCATCATCTTTGTGATTAAAAAAAAAAAAGAATTTGTCAATGAAATTCTCATGTTCCTCTCCCCTGAATTTACTGAGAGGACTTTGAGACTGAAAGATAATTATTGCAGACTTATTTTTAGTTTTTCTGTATCTTATTGGAGTAAGAATCTCACTCAAGACAGAAAATCTTTCAAAAGTAATGACTGTTCAACCTGGAAAAGCCAGATATTTTATCTGACAGATTAAGTTTTTTATGCAATTTTTACCTTCAGAAAAAAAGAGCACAATTTTAGTCTTTATTAGATTTGAATTATTAAAGCATCTTTTATGCTGCTCATAAGGGATTTTTAAAATTTTTAATTTATCTTATTTTTTCAGTGCTTCTTGATAGAATCCCAAGGAAGGCCATGATGGACTAATCCTCAGCTGCCTAGATAATCTGGGCCTGCTGTGATTTTAATGTGTTATTACATGGGCTCGATGCTATTAATGAATTTTGCTGCCAGCTATTGTTATCAAAAAGAAGTAGAAGCAGCGATTTCTATTAATCGTACACATCGCTAACATGATTTGTTATATCCATACTTTGTATCTTTATTTAAAAATGGTGTTGATGTCTATGAATATCAGGTAAAGCTGGCAATTAATGTCACTTTCTAACTGGCTACAGCTAATCAGCTTGCCTACTCTAAATATCAAATAACTACATAATGGGCAAATTTCCATTTCTGAAGCTTTTTAATGCTCTCTTTTGTTTCCCATTTGGCTCCTTTCAGTTGTTTATATAATGGTTTGTCATACATTAATTTGCATGTTGGGATTCGGAGGTGGGAGGGCAAAGGTTATTCTAGTGCTTGCTGGCTTCCCCCTCATTTCCTGTGGTTCCCTCTTCCCCTGAGGCAGTTATAACCCATCAGATTTGCAAAGTCTACTGTGTACAAATCAATTGCATTCCACATTGAAATTCTAGAGTAGTTAGAGTCCTGAGAAACAGTGATTGGAGTCAGTGATCCAAATGACAGCACTGGCAATTTACTTGCATTCATTCCTCCCTTAATTCTTTAGAGGAGTAACTGCTGCATGCTCCTTGCAGAAAACATGAATTAGAGTTGGGGCAGTATTAGCTACCCAAAGCATCAGAGTTACTGCGTCTTAAAATTGGATGATAATCTATTTTAGCAATGAAGGCTATTGAATCAGGAACAAAAAAGCTGTAGGGAAGAAGAGGAAATCCCACAATCAAATTTATAAAATTTGGGTCACTTATGTAAGTAGGATGAATAAACTGTTATAGATTATTCATTTTAGCACCAGAAACAAAAATGTTTGGGACAGAATATGAGCTGCTGTCAACTTTTTGTCCAGAAAAAAACATCATTCTGTATGCATACAAACATCAACAACAAAACAGGCTTCTTATTCCCCAAAGTTGTTAAATGTATTATTTTACTATTCGTCAAAATAGTCAAAAGGAATTCTTCAAGAAATAAAAGAAGTGACAAGTCAGGATATGAATCACATTTCTTTTTTTTTTTTGAATTTATCTCTTATTTGTTGCTTTGAATGAAAAAGTCATAATAAATGGACACTTCTACTTTTCTGGTACAAAGAATTTTTGTATGTATAAATGGACCCATATAATGTTGTGCATATTAACCATCTTATTGTCTCAAAGCCTCAAATTATCTGTTGTGAAAAAAATTCCAAACTTTTGGCATAATTTGCTTACATTCTTATGTCTTTACTTGTGATCCATTAATTAACAACTAACCTGATGTGAAATTGTATTATTTCAAGTGGATGAAGTGGACTGACTTTTACTAATTTCTACTAAATGATTCAGTTTCTTCCAATCCTTAACAGCTTTCTGCCATCTAGTTTTCCCTTGAGTTGTTCTCAAAGGTTATTGGCTACCATATTTCAAGACACTGATTGCATTTTGCTGTGGCTTAGCTTTCATTTTCTTTGAGAAAGTAGTGAATGAAAATGAAGGTGTTTTGTGTAGATGCATTCTTTTATTTTTCTTGTTTTCTTCTGTCACTAACTTGTTTTTTCTATTCTGTGTTTAATCTGCTGTCTTAATGGATTCAGCTTCAGAAAAGAGAGCGCTCTTGCAGAGCCTATGTCCAGGTACTTTCTGCGTTTTTATAAATGTGTTAAGCGGTTGGATTGTCTGTGCTCCATTTGAACTAATGGAATTTCAGGGAGGGTTTGAAGGGTGGGAATGGGAAGAATTAAGAGAGGGTATATGCTAAAAAGAAATATGGCAATGCCAGATTATCTTAATGTAGACTAAGCAGGTGGTGTAACTTGGGGTGGAAAAATTTTGATGATCCATAAGAGGTGAGTTGGGTCCAAAAATAAATCTTTCATTTTATCACAGAAGTTAGTATCTGATTATTTCATATATACACTGGGAGTCAGGCCATTCAGAAATAACACTCATTCAAAGTGAGACAGGGCAAGAAATAGTCCAGGAATCTTGATGTATAGTACCATACTTCTAGTCTAAAATGGAACTGTTTATTGGCTTAAAGCATGTGGTGATTATCTTACTCTCCTTGAAAAAGTGATTATCACAAAGTAAAGTATCTTTTGTCAAATTGACATTTTTGTTCCCCCTAAGCAGTAAACATTCCTTGGTTTAGTGTGAGGGAGCAATCCCAAAAGTGAGCTCATTTTTCTCTGGAGAATTAGTGTGTATGCACGTGCGTGTGTGTGTGTGTGTGCGTATGTGTGTGTGTGTGTGTTTTGTATTTGTGATTGTTTTCTTTGGTTTTACAAACAAAAAATGAAAGGAAAAGGGGCTATTACTGTCTGACTCTAAAGTTTCTGCAGCATATACATACTATCACATATTTGATAGATGTGATATATAGATATGTCCACAAGAACCAAGTTAGTGATTGTAAGGTTGGCAGTATATAAACTATACATTAGTCAAGTGCTGGTGGCTCAGGCCTGTAATCCTAGCTACTCAGAAGGCTGAGATCTGAGGAGACCGGTTCAAAGCCAGCTAGGGCAGGAAAATCTGTGAGACCCTTAGCTCCAATTAACCTCTAGAAAACTAGAAAATTGTGAAGATCACAGCACAGTAAATGTTTTCATGAATAAACATACCTCTCTATTACATATAGTCATTTGCTGAGGGCTGACAAACTTTTCCTTCCATCTGCCCCAATGTAAAATGTCTTACATGAAATCCTTCAATAAAAATGCGTTAATATAATATCTATAATTTATGTTTATATATATATATATATATATATATATATATATATATATATATATATGTGAATGATACAAGCCCAGTCTCTGCTCTGGGATTTTACTGTCTAAAGGACAATCTGGATGAATATGTTAGTGCATCAGAATCCTCAAAGAGTTGAAACTAAGGATGAGAAGGTCCATCTTTCTTGTTACATTCTCATTCTGAAAGTACTCTATAGGCCAGTTATTTTATAGATAGCCAAATTTGTCTGGCATGGATTGATTCTGTGAGGGAGTAAAGATACTTTTCCCCTCATTCACCGTGAATCTCATAGCAGAGACCTTTGTCACAGAAGACAGATTAAAAAGAGAAAAGCACACATAGTTGTTTACTCGAAATTTTGTGTGACACACTGACATTTGGACTAAAAACATGGAAAAAAAACAGGGAAATGCATATTTTGATGAAGATCAGAGCAGTCAGGAAGGAGCACATTTGGGTTGAGATGGCATAAAATGGTAATAAACTGGGGAAATTAAGAAAGGAGTATTTGCTTCTATTCCTGTTGCCATCTTTTTGGCTTCTTTCTTTTCATATAGTTAGGTTCTTGTAAACTGAAAATATTGTGGTCTGCTTCAGAGTTTACTATATTTGTTTCAAGGGAAAAAGAGAAAAAAAGGTCAGAGTAACCTTTCTTCCTTTTCTTTTTTCTTAAAGGGCATCATGTCACATTTTGGCACAGAGCAAGCCTGGCCCTGATCAATTCTGGCTACACTACTTTTACTCTCAGTTTTGATTAATTTTGTTTTTAAATCTGAACAATTAAGCATACACACACACACACACACACACACACACACGAGAGCGAGAGAGAGAAAGAGAGATAGAGAAATAAAAAATTGTCTTGTGAATTTTATTTTGAACTTGAAGCCATTAGGATGAGGAAAACAAAGATGTTTTTAAAGGGAAAAAATATTGCGAGAAAGATTTGGAAGATTTGCTTTTAATTTACATTTTACTTTATAAAACAATGAGTGTTTATATATAAGAAAGTATTGTCTAAAAATTTCAAAGAAATTACCTTTCAAGGCATGCAAACATCCTTATACAAACTATGCTCAGTGTAAGTAATAGAGAAATTATTCTCCAAGAGAGAAAGCTGGAGACCATTTTGGATTGTTTTCTATTGCAATCTTTGCTATCCTTTTAATGGGACCTTTGGGATAATTAGCCTTTTGGTATTTAAGTCTATGAAATGCATGGTCATTCAGACATGAATCTCTGATGGAAAATTAATAGCACAGTTTGTTCAATGGTTGATTTCCTGGTGTTATAACTGAATGCCTGTGAATAAATGTTTCAACTATTGACTAAATATCTGATAAGACTGAATAGAGACAGAACATTGGTGAAGCAAACTACTCTACTCGATAATGCCCAGCACCATTTCTCATCATTTTTATGTAGATTGCTGGCCCATGAAATTTCAGACATATATATTTTAAACCTTAATTTATTTGAATCATAAAGATGAATTTCTTGTTTCCTATTGTTCCTGAACAGTTAGAACTATCCATGAAATTGGAGTGAGAAACCATGGACGGTCTTTAGGCCTTAAACTTGACCAAAGATGATTATTAGTCATCAGGAGTTTCTTGAAGAAAGGGACTTTTCAAAACATAAGCAATGATTCTTTTGGGGTTGACTTTGATTATCCATTAATTAGAGGGCTAATCTATTTTATGAATTATTTAGATCCATCATTTATATTTTCTTTCTTCTATCTTTGGTTTATTTTGCCCACAAGTAGCAGCAGACAAAATCTGAACTGACTGTGGAATCAGTTATAATGACCTGTAGGTACTCTTAATATGAGTTTTTAAAAAATTACATAAATCTCAAGAAGCGATTATATTTATAACCTAAGATTTGTAACAAATGCAAAAGGAGTCCAGAATAATTTTTGTTATCTATAATTATACTATAGTAAAATTTTTACTCTGACTACAGTAAGATAAAAATTGAAATGTCATAATAAAACATTATTACCATGCCTTGTACATTTTTGTTTCAAAAGAGAGTTTTAACTTTTATGTGGAGAGCAAGATTGTGCTTACACAAACATATAAAATAAGCTACTATGGTATAATATTACACAGAAGGATCTTAGGGATACCTAATGGTATGACAAGGGTACCTGATTAAAACTAATTGCACAGACACTCAGACACTGCTCTACTGACGTATATCAACATTATGATTAAGAAAAAAAATGGTTTTCATTAAAAAATATAATTACTAAACAGAATTGTGTGGTTATCATTGTAGGTTTTCATTTGTTTGTTTGAGACAGGATATCCTTGTGTAGCCTAGACTGGTCTCCAACTTGAGATCCTTCTGGCTCGGATTTCTGAGTGCTAGGATTATAAGTGTGCTCCACCAGGCACAGAAATTAGTATACATTCATAAGTTAGTATAAACTTAATGGTGATAATCTATGGTATAATCATTTAAGTTTTTAACTTACAGACTTGAAAATGATGTCTAGAAAGGCTGTAATGACTTTCATAAGCTGCACAATAATAACTGAGGAGATCTTAAACTTGAAATGGGGTCATCCTGATTTGAGAAACTTAGGCTTCTAAGCCCTCAGATACTACAATAGTAGATATGGCCCCATTATTTGGTAGGAAGAAAGAGAATGTATAATTTGGCTTAATATTTATTGATTTTTACTGTATTTCAGAAATAGAACAGGGTAAAACACTTGCTTTTTTTTTGTTCTGATGATCAAGTATAGCTGTTTGATAATTATTTTGCGGTTACATCAAGGTCATATATAAATATGATTTGCTTGAAGTCTTTTTATGTTCAAAAGATACACTGACTAAAAGTTATTATCTTAGCTAGGCACTGGTGGCTCTTACTTGTACTTCCAGCTACTCAGGAAATTGAGATATGAGGATCACAGTTCCAAGCTAGAAATGCCAGGAAAGTCTGTGAGCCCTTTGTTTTCAATTAGCCACTAAAAAGTCAGATGTGGAGTTTGGCTCAGATGGAGTGCTAGCCTTGAGTAAAAAAGCTCAAGGATAAGCCTGGCGCTGGTGGCTCACGCCTGTAATCCTAGCTACTCAGGAGGCTGAGATCTGAGGATCGCGGTTCAAAGCCAGCCCGGGCAGGAGAGACTGTGAGACTCCTATCTCCAATAAAACCACCAGAAAACTGGAAGTGGCGCTGTTGCTCAAGTGGTAGAGCGGTCTCCTTGAGCTGAAGAGCTGAGGGACAGCGCCCAGGCCCAGAGTTCAAGCCCCACGGCTGACCAAAAACCTGAATTCAAGCCCAAGCCCAACACACACACACACACACACACACACACACACACACACACACACAACTTTATTATTATCTTAACAGAAGAACAAGCAATTTGACATGGATTATCTATCCAAAGGGAGGAAGTATGAAATTGTTTTGCAAAGTGGCTTTACCTTATTTCAGATCCACCAATAATATATAAGGGCTCCATTTTCTTCACATCTTCACCAATACCTGCTATTATTACGCCTTTTTCTTTGCACCCATGATGGTATATGTGAAATATAGATTTGCACTCTCTGTTGATGGGTTGCAGGTAGGGGAAGGTTTTGAAGTTTAGTCCATGAACTAGTAAACAAGCTACTATGGTAAAATATTACACAAAGGGATCGAGTTGAATGGTATGGCAAGGTTATCTGATTAAAACTAATGGCACAGACACTGCTTTACTGACATATATCAACATCATGATTAAGAAGAACAATTTTTTTATTAAAAATAGAATTACTAAGCAGAATTGTGTGGTTATCATTGTGAAAAGCATAGATTTTTGTTTGTTTCTCTCTTTCTCTATCTCTGTCTTTCTCCCTCTCTCTCTCTCCGC